CTCACCAAAAAAAAAAACAAAACAACAAAACAACACACACACAGTGCAACCAAAAAAAACCAGGTTGGATGCTGCCTTAAAATCGACGAGTGATTGGGAAGATTTGGATTTTATACATCCATGCATGTGAAACTTCTACTTACAATTGATATAAGATCTTTTTTTCCAAACATCAGCATACATATATGAAAGTAGGAGTCAAACAGTTTGAGAAGGGATTTTACTGATAAAAAAGGCTCTATTTCACTCGAGAAACACTAGATACTGTTGAGAAAATTGTCATTGTGGGCTTTAAAGGCCTTAGGACACATATGTCTATTACAGGAGAAAAATTAACGTTCAGTATTAATTTCTTCCAACTGCTGAATGTTGTAATTGCATGAGTGCTCCAGATATTGCTTCACTTTTTTTTTCCTTCTTCTTTTGTGTGTGTATCCAGGCTGTGTTTTGCATAAGTGCATTTTCTTTCTGCACTGAGGTAGTGAGCGAGGAGTTCCACAAAAATATCATGAATAAAGAACAAGTTATCTGTAGACGGAATAGGATTTGTATAAACAATTAATGCGTTCCAATAGAACTAGATTTTTGTTCTCTACAATCAAGATAATAGAAGGATGTTAAGTAACACCAGCTTAATGGGCTGGAAGATAACAAATTAAAAATAACAAATTAAAAAATCTCCATGATCTAAAAGATACCATTGACTTGTGTGTCCCCAGCATTAGCAGGAACAAGTTGCTATCCCATGTCCTCTTCTTTCACAGGTGCACATAGAGGGTCATTTGTGATTGCATGCCAAAAAATACTCGTAACATATCATCTGAAATTAGCAATACTATACTCCAATTAATTGCTAATACTATAATTAATTTCTCTTGCCTCTTCTTAGTTATTCTTCATCATTCTACGATCTTACGGGGGAGAAAAATGATTACGAAATGGTATAATAGTTTAGTGCTTTCAGTGCAAAACTATGTCGGTAATTTGGTATCCTTGCTCCATAATGTGTGCAGGTTTTCATTGTTGATCCTACGCACAGTATCTATGAGTAACACCTCTGCGAAGTCTTATCTTACAAGAAATATTGCCAAAAAAATAAAGGACACTTTTTCTCACCTCAATATGCTCACTCATTGCAGCTAGTCCATGAGAATTTCTTTGGTGACTATGCTGGGTATTCTTTGGGGGTTTTAACCATTTTACATGAAAATTGGTTGACATATGGTCGTTTATTATATCCACTTCTTTTGTTACTGCTCAATTAGCATGTATGTGCAAAACTAATATATCAGCATAATATTTGGCTCATTATAAACATTCTCAACGCATTTTCTTTCCCTTGTGCAGGACATCTGAACAAAGCGCCGCAGGTATGCACGCTGTTCTAAATCCATCCTCTACATTCTATTCAACTCCTTATTACATCTCCATAAAAACTGAAGAATTTTTTTTTCTCAACAAAATTCCAGCTTCACCTTCTGCCACATGCGCCTATGATGTATACTGCTTAGGCAAAGTACTGCTCGAGCTAGTTACTGGCAAGCTCGGTATCAGCAGCTCCAACGGCACCTCAACAACTGAATGGCTAGACAAAACATTGCAATACATCAACATTTATGATAAAGAGCTTGTCACAAAAATTGTCGACCCGTCTTTAATAGTAGATGAAGACCTTTTAGAGGAGGTATGGGCAATGGCAATCGTGGCCAAATCCTGCCTCAATCCAAAACCATCGAAACGCCCTCTCATGAGATACATATTAAAAGCTTTGGAAAATCCATTGAAGGTTGTGAGAGAGGACAGCACAGGCTCTGCCCGGTTGAGAGCTGGATCATCTCGTGGCTCTTGGAATGCAGCATTATTTGGTAGTTGGCGACATAGCTCGTCTGATATCGCGTCAGCTTCGGGCCCACCATTATCATCGAGTTTGAAGAGGTCAGGGACAATGAGATCTCAGGGGAGCGGTGGAGAGCAATCGTTCAATAACAGGAGACCATCAAAAGAGATTTTTCCTGAGCCATCAGGGACTCGTGACGTTGTAGAAGATTGAATTGACGTTGATTTTGTTCGATTTTTTCGGGTAAATAAATGGTGAGGTAAAAAAAAAACTTCTGCTGATTCTTTTCCTCTTGGATAAGAGGGTCATTTTCTTGGTGGCGCAGCTTGAGTTGTCGGCTAAGTTTAGAGGAGGGTGGGAGAGGTCTAGATATGGAAAGTTGAATTGGGGGTTTGTTTATTTTTATTATTTTTTCTTATCTTTTCCTTCTCATTTTGGTGTAAAACAAGCTCCGAAATTTTTGGTTTTGCTGAATTGTATCCTTGAATGTGGTTCTGGGTGATGTATATTGGATGATTGGGTATCCAGATCATAGTTGTTTATTTAATCAGCCTTTTGTTATTTTCAATTCTTTTGTACCTGTATCTGGGATTGTTAATTTGAGTAACATGGAGTGAGTGGTTTCTTTGTCCATGTGTGAGATGATGAGAAAATTGAGCGTTGAGATTATGCTTTTGATTCTTTGTATAACTTCATAAATTTAAATAGGGTTAAAAGTCTATCATAATTAGGAGGCTGGTTTTTATCATAATAAGAAGTTTGAATTTTATTCTACTTAATACGTTAGATTAGAGATTATATTTTGGTTTATCTATATATAGTCTTCTATTATTAGAGAAAAAACCAAAGATAAGAGGGTCTCTATTCCTATAATTTAGAGTTCGTAGAAGACGTAGCTGGATGCAGATTACAATGTTGGCGAGAAGATGCAGATTACAACGTTGGCCAGGGTTCTGTAGTTTTTGTCCACGCAAAAAATTATAATATTGGCAGAGTTTCACAATGTTTGTCCGTCCAAAATAATTGTAAGGAGAGAGATTGATAGAAGAGAGATAAGACAAAAAGACTGTAAGGAGAGAGAGATTAAGAGAAAAGAGTTGAGTTGTATTTCTTGTAGTTCCCTCTGACACATAATGGATTTCTCGTATTGTTGCCCGGTAGGTGTAGGTCTGTAGGGTCGAAAAATATACGATTGATTCTTGTTTTAAAAATGAGTTCTATCACTTGGTAAGAATCTCTTACAATCGCTCTCTCTCGAGTACAGAGGAAGAGAATGTTAATTTGACTTCTCTTTTGTTTAACGTTGGCTCTGTGTGGCGAAAGGATGCCTCACTCGATGCTTGGCGAGTTTGCTTCCCGTTGACGATCAGATCAAGATCGCTTGGATTCAAAGAGAACTTAGCCTCTTAATGAGGCTTAAGCCGTTGCTGGTGTCAGATCTTGGATTCTGACGTGTGTGGTCTGAATGCTCAAGGTGCTCTCTCCGCGCGAATGCTCCCCTTGCCAGATGATGGCTTCTTCATAGCTACTTGCGGCTATTTATAAACCTTTTAGCACGTAACTTACATGCTGAAATCGTGAGTAGATGGCGTAACTGCCTCCTACGATTTAGACCTCGTGGGCTAACTTGGTCCTCATGGCCGTTAGCCTCTTGATTCGGGGCTTCAACAAATAGGACAAACCTCCAAGCTTGGCGAGATTCATCGGCTGAGATTAGGAGCGTAACTGACTCTTTAAATTTAGCCCGCGTGGGTTGGCTGAGTCTTCAAGACTGTTATAGCCGAACTTCCTTTTGTAGGACGAGCCTCCAATGATGAACTTCGAACATCGTTTCCAACGACGAGCTTCGCCTTTAATGGTGGTTTTTTCTCAAGCTTCGGACAAGTTTTGTTGTCTGAGATGAGGTTCGTCGTTTCAACGACCCTCGACATACCTACTATGAGCTTCGATGTTTTTTTGGTATTTTTGAGTGCCTACAAGGCCAAATGATTAGCTGATCATAATGATCTATGAAGATCAATGAGAATGGAAGAGAAATAGGCTTTTGACTAGCCTCTGAGTCTCTCTCTCGCTTTTCTCCATGGCAAAGACCTTTCTTCTCCCTCTCCCCCTTTTGCTTCATGTTGATTATACCTATTTATAGAATTGGGAGCATTATGGAGTGAGTTAGTGGGCTTTAACTCCCCTTAAATGAGGGAATTAATGGTCATTAACTCCCATTTAAAATAGGTGAGTTAGTAGTCATTAACTTTCATTAAATGGCTGAGTTAGTGGTCATTAACTGCTTCCTTAAAAGTAGCCTTTGGAAACAGTGTCAGACGAGGTTCGTTAATAACGCCTATGTGTGAGGTTCGCCAGTAATGACCATGGGCGAGGTTCGTCTGTGGATGAACTTCGCCTCTTGAATGGACTTCATTGGCTGAGATGAGATTCATCATGGTGACGAGCCTCGTCATGTTTACTGTGAGCTTCGACGCTCCTTTGTTTCTTGGCTTTTTTTAGTACCTACAAGACCCCCTTCAAAGTTTTTAGACCCAAATTGGGTTGTATGGGGTCTGAAATACTTTGAACCTTCTCGACTATGACGAGCTTGGCCTCTTGGTACGCTTGGCCTCTTGGTGAGCTTGGCATCATGGTGAGCTTCGACGTTTCGAGGTGAACCTTGTGGTTTCAGATGAACTACGTTGTTTCGAGCCTCGACACTTCGAGACGAGGTCCGACTACTTGATGAGTCTCGTCGTTCTATGCGAACTTCATCAGACCCATGTGGGACTGACAATCAGGACTTAGGATTTTTAGCAAATCCTCAGCTATCAACGGACTTGATTTGTCTTTACCAACTGCCGTTTGAGTTGGACTATCCATGCTCTTACCCTTAGCATGGTAAGTTGTCGAGGAGTTTTCCTTAGGCTCAATGCTAAGATTTCTCCTCTATCCTTATCCATTCGAGGCATTGGATTAAGTGTTTGATCGTGATTATAATGGTTAAGTTGTAATCAAGTTTGATTGTGTCGTTCAGTATAACAACTCAACCTGGTGTTTTGAAATCGAGGCTCATCGCATGGTATGTCTGTTGGGGTGTGGTGATATTATTGATGAATAGTGACTCATCGCTTGGTAGGTCACTATTTGGAAACAAGGGGAAAGATAGGAGTTCATCGCTTGGTAGGCCACTATCAGTGAATAATGTCATTTACAGGGATGACGGTGTGAAAGCAATCAAGTCGTTCAGTGACATGGAAGTATAACGTCTGTGATCGAAATAGAGGCACATCGCATGGTAAGCCACTACAAATGGACAATGTCATTTGCAGGGATGATGGTGCGAAAGAAATCAAGCCCTTCAGTGACAAGGAAGTATAACGACTGTGATCGAAATAGAGGCACATCACATGGTAGGCCACTATTAATGAACACCGTCATTTGCAGGGATGATGGTATTAAAATAATCAAGTCGTTCAGTGATATGGAAGTATAACAACTGTGATTGGAATAGAGACACATCACATGATAGGCCACTATTAACAAACGTTCTAGGGAGATAGAACGTTCAGAAAATATTAGATAGCAAATCATCGCATGGTAGATCACTATCCTGATCGAGTGACAAGTAGGTGTTTATCGCATGGTAGAACACTACTTGACAAGGTATTTTCAATAAGGAGCCAAGAGTTAACTGTTTGCATCGGAAATCTTTTTCATTGCTGAATCCATTACACGTTTATCGTCTTACAGATTCCAAAAAAAAAGTTAGTCTTTTTTATAAGACTTTCTTACATAATAAAAATAAACAGGTGGGTCTTCTAGAAACACACACAGGCCTGTGACGGGGATGTCTTTATCCATGAACTACCAAGGATCAAATCCGGTTGATCTTGTTTCTTGAAAGAGACAAGAATTTAGTAAATATCTTAAGGATTGAGATAGACACTCTTCTCAAGATCAAAACGAAGTTTGATCTTAAGGAACTGATGCAGGGGTTATTGATTTTTCGAAATCTTCTTCTTAATGTTGAAGTTTACCAAAATCTCTCTTTCTCCTCTCTGAAATTCGTGTCTTAGCTCTTTCAGGGTCAGCACCTCGCCTCAAAGCTCCAAAATTCCAGCCCTTGTGCAAAGGGACCCTAGGGCTGTATTTATAGGCTTCAGGTACCCCGTTTTCACATAAGAATTCACGATTTGATCTTATCTTCAGTTGATAACTACTTTTCCACATTCAAGGATAGCCTCAAGTCAGTTGGAGAGGCTCTAGAGTGAACGAATCTTAAAATTCTATCGAAATACGCATCGTCGGGAGGCTGAAAGGGTGAAACAGCCTGTGTGTTTCGCTCATGTGGGCGAAATAATTTATACTGCTTTCTGTATTTTAGCTATAATTATTTCATCCGACCTCAGAATGAGGTGATTCCAGTTGCGTTGGAAAGATGGAAAGATACCTACGACTTTTGTCTTTTGAGCTTTTTCGGATTCGATATGTATCATGGTCAAAATTTTAGTTTTTCATACTCATGTATTCCTTTACTTCCCCTTTGGCATCAAATAATCATCTTTGACTCGGACATTAACGTTCATCACCTTCTCTTTGTCTCGAGCTGTGTATAGGAACCTATAGATAATTTTTAATGCCTACAGATATCTCCTCCAAAGTGTTTTAGCCTCATTCTTTTATAGAGGAGACTGAAATACTTTGGATATAATATACCCAGCTTTCAATCCTTTGACTTCTTCAGCTTTCAGTCTATTCAGTATTTTGTCGAATATTTAAAATTCTTCTGGTTCTATGTTTATCGTCTAACCGTTGTTGACATCTTGAATTAAAACTGGTGTGTGGGTTTCTAAATTTAGCTCGTGTCGTTGAATCAACGTTGAACTGATCATCTTCGTCGGGAATTCGTATCCGAATCACAATTGAACTCCCTGAGATTATCCTTTTGACCTGGAATCTCATCCTGAGCATTATTTTAGCGAAAATCATCGACACGTTGACTGACATAGACCTTTGTTGTAATGCGTTGACCGGGGTTGACCTTTGTTGCAACGCGTTGACCGGTGTTGACTTCCATTTGCAACGTGTTGCTCGGCATTGACTTTCATTTGCAACACGTTAACCAGCATTGACTACAATGCATTGACCTTCATTGTAACGTGTTGACTGACGTACAACACGTTGACCGACATGAACACAATTTATACTCATACGTTAACTGGAGTCTACACAGTTTAAGCTCTTAAGGCGTTGAAGCACGAAGAATCGGTTTATACTTGTATACTCATTAGAGTGTAAGGGAAGAAGCAGTTTATACTCTTATACTCGTCGGACTCTTGGGAAGAGCGAGCTGAGAATGCATTGGACGCTCACCAGGTTGAGCTCTTTGTGCAAGATATGATTGTAGGACTAGCCATTGGTACTGATACAACTACTATCTCTGAAGATGCCGAACATCTAAAGTTATCATCCTCAAAAATATGTTCAAGGCTCCATGATTATAGAAGCTTCGACTGGAGTTGAGGTTAGCTTAGCTGTTCAAGTCACGAGACCAATTGGTGAAGCTGATGCGTCAATGACTTT